ATAATTGTCACTTTCAAATGTTAACTTTTACTTTTTTATGCTTGTAATAATGTAATATTTTAAAAAATGCTTTTTTTCTATATCAAGCTTATTGAATAAAATATATTAAATATTTTGCGGTTCGATTTTATTTGATATATCACGGTAATTGCGTCATATTGATATTTTCACAGAAAATTCAACTCCGATAGTGTATCTGGTAAAATATCAATATAAAAAATCACGGGCGAATAACTAGTAAGTGGGTAATATATGTATATTATCAGTTTATCTAAAAAAAATACTTTCGCTTCTCATTTAACTCATTTAACCTGATTCGATGCAACTGCTTCCCGAGTACCGTAACGCCTTAAAATATCCTGGTAAGCAAAGTATGTCTTTTCTTCTGTTTCATAACTTTGATCTTATTTTATTGAATATAGCTTTCTGGGAGAGTGTGGAAAAACCTTCGCTGATAAAATTTTTAGAATTCCGTTTACGCGAAGGCAATTTGAGTGATTCGAAAACAGAACACCGCCGTTACAATGAAGAACTAGATACTATCACAGAATACTTATCCGATTCATCTGAGATTGTGGAGCAAGTGAACAAATGGAAAATTTCATTTAAGGTAAATAAATTGATTTTATTTATTTTACCTGTCTGCGTTGCCTAGCTCCGTCACCAACTACCCTGTCAAATGCTGTTTGGCAGTGGGAAAGAACCGCGTTTCTGTTGGTGTGCATGATGTTGGTGAGCATGATGTTAGTGGGCCAGTGACAACAACTCACAAACTACCCTGTCAAATGCTGTTTGGCAGTGGGAAAGAACCGCGTTTCTGTTTGTGAACAGGCAGTCTTCTAGGCAAGCTTGGTTATATTTTTCATTAATTGCTCTTAATACTATTAGAATGATAAAAGTTCCAGAAAAATAAACGATTTCTGGGAATTGCACAAAGTTATTCAAAACGAGAACAGGTTTCATGAGGAAAAATCACGTCTACGACAAGTAAGTTATCTGATACATTCGAAAATCTTAGTGACTTTTTTGTTTGACAGTATCCATAATTAATAACTTGGATGTGATCCGAGAAGGACAAACTAAACGATTTGAAAGATCAAATCAACGTTGAACAGGTTAGTATTTTGGCTTGACACTTAATCGCATCTGTTCTTAATACACTGAAAGTTCATTTTTAGGTGCAACATGTATTGAACACAACAAAAGAAACATTTTCCCAAAATCTCGAATTACAAAAGACCGTCATCAAACAACACTTGTTGGACGAGACGAATGCCGGATCAATAATCGGACAAAAACGAAATCGCGTGAGTATTTAGTTACATTTATTTCTATGTTTGTAATAAATTTGACTTTTTTCCTCTTCATCTAGGGTTCGGCCTCCTTGAAAAATAAAGAAGATGAACTTGATTCTGAGGAAAAATATCAGCAAAGTTCACAACAGAAGAGGAAATGCACGTAAGCTTCGTTACGTTTTTTATTCGTTGTTGCTATCTGTTATTAATCAGTTATCACTCATTTACTCAAGTGAACCAGTTGTGGACGCTGAAAATAATCCGTTTTTAGGATCTAAGAATGAATCTGTTTCAGATACTGAAATTATGCCCAACTGTCCAGCAATAATTAATGATGTTATGGGACTAAAATTGGGACCATTACCTCGAAAAGAGTCTAGATGGTTCGTAAACGACATGGACGTCTCTGAAAAATGGCATTTGTTTAAGGAAAAATTCGGTGGAATTGGCAAATAGAGAAGGCCTTTTTGTGGAAAGCCACACACAGCAGATATTGTATGCTCTCAGTTTTTCATTGCTAGGTTACCGCGGAAACTAATTACAATTATCTTAACTGTATAGATCTTTATCACACATTCTTTTGTTAAAGCCCAAACAACATTGCCCGTTAATGACGGAGGTTTTCGGTGATGTATTATTAGAAATGATGCACAATGATATCTTACAAAGACTTACCAAGCAAGAAACAGGATTTGATGATGAAATATTTATGAAGCTTTTTCGCATTGTTAAGGTATAATATCTTTTCTACACTTATTTGATATGAAAAAAGTTTTATACACCTGTTCTTGTCACAGCGCCTATAAAAAAAAGAAATTACAAGAGACGATGCAGTTTCAGAACTGCAAATTATTTCAGTTGGCTGTCCTTATAGAGAACGCGCAATTTTGAGGGCCATAAGAAACATGTAAGATTGTAACGAATTATAGAGTAAGGGGATCTTACAGTATCCGATACCTAAACATGCCTTTTATTTCTAATTACTAGTATCGAAAGAGTTCCAAGAGCCACGCTAAAAAGCCCCGTTGGAGAGGTGGAATTGTGCACCACTTATATTGACACAATTCTTAGCCCGCTTTTTGCGGATCCTGATCGCGGTATATTTCTGCGATGGTAAGCTCTTAAACCTGATATATTTTCATGTATACATTTTCTAATCAATAGGAATATTACAGGCCAAATAAAGAGGCTATAGAGTCAAAGACTAGAAAAGCAGTAGGCAGAGCAAAACAACCAGATGCTATCATCAACGAGGTCGACCAGCTGTCTTGGAGCTTGAGCAAAGGACATGGTGAAGCAAAGGTTCAAGAAGAGATGAATAACCTTTACCTCCTTTGCACCGATCTCATCCGGATAGCTGTGTTTAACAAAGATGCGATTGACGTTTATAACATGAATTGTATGCTTGGATTTCAAGTTGTTGGTAAGTTTCCAATAGTAACTTTTTGTTCAGATCACACATCACTGAACAATTGTTCTGTACTCTAGGTCATCATATCACATTCTACCTCACCACGCTTTTGTGTGATGCCTTATATATTATGGTGGAAGTTGGTCACGTTGATGTGCCTATGTCACTTGAACAAGTTCCTGCTTTTCTCACTAGCCTTGATACGCTTCTCATCATTTCCAATGCATATTGGTCCAATTGCATTATGTCTACCGAAAAAAAAGAACCAAGCAGGCGTAGTACTCTTGCAACACCAAGCTTTAAAGAAATGGTTTCAAAGACTCGAGATCGACATCGACCTTGTCAATTACGATTTTAATTTTTTAGGTTTCAAAATTAATTCACAATGTTAAAAATTTCCATTTTATATATTTGTATCTATTATAACACGTGTAATGAATGCATCAGAAAATAAAAAAAAATGTGTATACTTGTTCCGCACATGAATGCTTTTGAATATACTGATTCTGAAGATATTGTCCGGAGATTTGTCACTGGTCCGAGACTGAAATGCGCAGTACGATATATCTGGAAAAACTCTTACCGAAAAATAGGGGCTGTGCGACGTAAGATGGGTATATAATAATTATTATATTCCATTATTTTTTTCGACTTGATTTACATTTATTTTTGCATGTCATGTCTCCGGCCACACTATTATCATATTAACAAAACAATATTCGGGTATGGATATTTTTTCCAGCAATCATTATTTCGCATATGAGATTTGGGGATGTGTATGCTAATCCTTCGTCATTTTTATTGATTTGCAGGGAGATTAACGGAATGACGAAATGCAGTGCGTAATTGCTGGTGAAATTCCGGGGAATGTTTTCTCCCGCGAAATTTTAATAGTGCTATAAAATGAGGTCAGTATATTTTTTGATTCTAGTTGAGGGAAAAGTCCCAATATGTCGAGCTCAGAATCAACTAAAGCTCCAGAATCTTTCCAGGTCCCAGAGAGATCCCGTCTATCTCTTGCTAATCATAGGAACCTTGCTTATAATATCTTGAAGTATCTTGAAGATGAAATTAGGGATAAAGAAATTTCGGATCTAGGGCCATGTTCCGAATGTACAAACGATATTTTGACACTTCCTCTCAAAGCATTCACTATACTCTCGTGTGGGCATCTGTTTCATAGGTTGTGCATCGAGAAGAAGCTCATGGTTACCAGGCCAGGCGTGTGTATTATAAAAAAGGTTGATTATTGAGAATAAAAAGGTTTAAGTTTATTGTAAAGCATCTAAACTTAAATCTAAATATAGATTTACTGTAAAAAATGTGAAATATTTAGTTATTATTAAAAGAATTACAAGATATTTTCATACTTTTTTTACAATTCTTTTATTTATGTTTATATTAAGATTACTATTACATTTTATCAAAAAAGTAGAAGCAGTTAATAATTTTAATTAATTGTTCTTATAATAATATATTATTTGCTTTTTTATTATTTAATATAATAAAATGTATAATAAATAAAATCAAAAGGGTCACATGAAATTTTAGTCATATGATTTTAAGAATTAGCAATATTTTGCTATAGAAATAATTTACAAAATCCTTACCAAATATTGGCCAAATATATATAATTCGGTAGCACTAGCTGCAGATTTCAAGTTATAAATGAACAAATAAAAAAAAAATATGTCAAATAATCCTAGTCAACTTCTCTTAATAATAAAAATAAGAATAAACACTTTATGTTTTTTTATAATTTATAGAATAATAATAAGAATTATCCTAATAATATTATAAATATTATAATTTTATTTGTATTAAATAAATTTTCATAAGTTAATTTAAAGTTTTATAAAATATTAACAAAAATAATATTTAAACTTTAAATAAATAACAAATCAGGCAATAAGATATTTTATTTAGTAATAGAATAATAAGGAATAATTATTATAGTATATTAAAAAACCTTTAGTATAGCTCAACATAATTATAATTTAAAGATCTGCAAACCCGTTTCAAAGGACACTAAAACTTTTATTTCTTCGACATTTAAATTTTAAAGCATGACTCAGTTACCTTTACCACCAAAAGTTTCCCCTCAAAATGTAGTAGATGCTCAAGTATTATATGAGCGTATAAAAACGATCGCTTTATGGTATTATGATAACATGTCTTTGTAATAGATACTCAGAGAAACCTCTCTAATTATACTCTATAAATGCAACCATTATCCCTGGCTTAGCCATAAGCTTTAGGATCAAATATTAAAAATTTACTCTCTCTAAACGCACACATCTCTAAATGCATACCTCATGTCAGTAATATTGCTAGAGAGGTTTCTCTGTAGTGCTAGATGTATCAATTAACGTTTTTTTGTGATCTTTAACAATTTCATAGGTTAGATTCAATCCCTATATATGGATACCAATTGCCAATTGGCTTGGAAGCAATCCTTGGTTTTTTACCAGCCTTTGGTATAGTTTGCAAGATGTCAATCAAATTTCCTTTCTATTAGCGAAATTTAACAATGTTCACATCTTATAGGTGATATTATTGGATTGGCGTTGGGAATGTATCAAGTTTATTTGACAAGTTTCTTTGATATTCCAGTAAATCTTTTGATGAGAATGATTATGCATGTTTTACTTGATTTTATTTTCGGAATTTTACCCGTCGTTGGTAAGAGAGTCAATCATTCATATTTTCAATATACTTATTCATTTTCTAATTGTTCTCTTTTTGTTGGAATAACTTAGGTGATCTACTTGATATCTTTTATAAATCGAATATTTATAATTTGAATCTTCTCGAATCTTGGTTAAGTGAAAAATACGGAAATCGTATAAAATTACAAAATAATGATCGTGGAAATAAATATCAACATTCTCGTAATTATTAACAAATATATCATAATCTTTTCATTTATTTCTTTTGAATTCAATAAAACATAACCTCAATTATCAAATGCGTATATCTCAAATTTATATTTGCCAAGCTTCATCTTTGCTCATCGTTTCCATCATGTTTTGATATCCACCATTTTTTACCAACGCTCGCTTTTTGAAACCTAAAATCGCGTTGTAGTAATCATATTGATCGTTTCCTTTTTTTGGTTTTGTCAATTTTTTGGCAGATAATAATTTATCCGCGATGTAATGAAGCCACTACGCATTTGATGTTAATTTTGAAAGAAAAAAAAAATAATATACCGTATAATAAATTAAAGATTTTGTTAATACTTACGAATACATTAGTTTTTGGCCAGAAAGATTTCCAATCGCCTTTTGTCTCTTCTCTCATCATACGGTAGACATCAAATTGATAATCACCTGAAATCGTGTGAATAAGTTTCATAATTTTCAGAGAATTAAGATTAAAAATGTGCCTCACCTTTCCCGGTAAAATATCCTTCATCTACTATATCTACGTGGATAATTTCATTTCCTAAATTGATTTGAAATAGTATTAAACAGATAGAAAAGGATCAAAATATCAATAAAAAAAAAACTAATTGCGTAGATTAACAAACCACGTTCCATCCGAGATAACGTATAGTCTATTATACAAGCCCGCACTCCAAAAGTTTTGATTTCAACGTTTATGTTAGCTGAAGGCAAATTATATGATACATACTTAACTTTAGTTTGTTTAATTGTTATGTTTCCCCAATGAAGATCACGGTGCTCAAAATAATGATAAAAAAATTTGTTTAGATATCAGTTCGCCCTAAGTAAATAAGCGTATAACAAACTATCTTACTTCGAAATTTAGCGACTAAAAGAAATTGTTTAAGATAAGAATTTTATTTTAATAAAATAATTAAAAATTAATATAATCCTACCTGTTCAGCCTGTGCTATACTCCATCCAACTTGTGTTAATACACTCCAAGCTTGTGCCCAATTTTTTAATTTAATATGTTCAAGATCCAGACCTCCATACTCAACAATTAACACGGCATAAAGCTGTTTATCATCAAAGTAATCTTTATAATATTGCAAAAATATTAGGATTATGCCATTCACAAATATAAAAAATAATTAATTTAAAGACCTGGACGAGCGCTTTCCGACTTATATGCTTTATCCCATCGATCCCATTCTTTTAATAGGACTTCAGGATATTTACCACGGCAAATACCAACTCTTTAAAAAAATGTATATAATTAATTGGAATTGTTTATAGTCAATCAAAAGTCATAAACTTACCCATATAATCTTAAGAAACCAACCCTCAATTTTGGGTCAAGACCAGTTCTTCCTCCCAACTCTAATGTGGTTTTGATCTCTTGAGTAATATCCCTTACACTACATTGTTCCTCACCATTCACTAATATTTCTTTTCCTCTTCCAAATGGAACGATCTTGAAGACACATTTCGTTTTTGTGGTAGTAAACTTTGGCGCATATGCTGTAAATACTTCAGAAAAACTTGCCTCTCCAATTTTCATGGCATTATTAAGACAACTTAAGAGACATCGAAATTAATATTGAAAATTTAAATATTCAAAAGTAATGATTTACACTCACTCCTTCCCAAGAAATTCTTCAAAAGCCCATAAATACTCTTGGTCACAAATCCTCAATAATTTTGTTAATTCTTGCGATTCATTCCTATCCTGCTCAATTTCTTTAGCAGGTTTATCAATCTCAGCTTTGTGATCCTTTATAAAACGATGTTCTAATTTCTTGGAAATCTGACTATTTGAATCGATTTCAAAGTCATTATGACAGATATCAACGTTCTCTTTTTCACTAAAATTATTCAGATCCTTTATAATAACTTTGCCTAATGATTCACTATAATGGTCGTAATCTTTGGACGGTGAATGATATTTTTTTTTAAATGGCTTTTGTGACATTGACAATTGGGTTTTATTTATTGAATTGTTAGGTGACAAGGTGCCTTCCTGGATCATATTCTTTTTGGATATTAACCGACTTGGCGAAATGTTATCTATTTCATTTACACGGGAAGTTTCATTTGCATGGTTTACTGGTTTCGGTGATTGACGAGTGGGCGAAAGATAATACTTGGGTTTTGTGAATCCCTTCGTGAATGACTTCCGCTTGACTGGTTCGCTTTCCGAGCCTTTAGTAATAAATGAGTGCTGAGTTGTAGAGTTTTTAAATTTAGATATCTTATCTTTCGCCAAAGAAATCTCTGTATCATTAGTTGTTCCTTCTAATTCTTTATTTATTTTATGATTCAAAGTATGAATTGCAATAACGCGTTCGTTGCTTTTCTTTCCATTGGTTCTAATCCTATCTTTCTCCAAAGAAATCTCTGTATCTTTAGTTGTTTCTTCTAATTCTTTATTTATTTCATGTCTCCAAGTATGAATTGCAATAACGCGTTCGTTGCTTTTCTTTCCATATGCTCTAACCCTATCTTTCTCCAAAGAATTCTCTGTATCTTTAATTGTACCTTCTAATTCTTTATTTATTTCATGTCTCCAAGTATGAATTGCAATAACGCGTTCGTTGCTTTTCTTTCCGTAAGTTCTAATTGTCTTTGTCGTAGTACCAAGATGGTTCATTTTTTTTTTTTTTTAAAATAACAATAAAATAAATTTACGGTTTATGTAAAACGCGGAAAAATAATATAAGGAATAATGCATATATGTATTTAACCATTTATATTTATGGTAAATAAACCGATTTCCAAATTAGGTCATGTGGTTAAGGGGTCATGTGAAACTATATCTACTATGAAACCATGAAATCGACATGAATTTTTTATTGAATATTTGAATACCTGAATTACCATTACCATGGCAAAAATTACAACTGGAGAGCAATATATTCGTACATTAGCTCAATATATTCGTTCTAATGAAAGGAGATTAACAACAACAAACTCACCTTCGCCTTCATCAGGCCATTTATCTGGTCATAAAAGAACTGATACTGGAGGTGGTAGTTTTTCAATGACGAACTTATGGTCTTTCTCCGCTGCACTAACAAGTTCTTACTTGAAACCAACAACTACAACAGCATCTACAACTCCAACTTCACCACCAAGTTCAATAAATAATCCAAATAAAATTTTTGTGACTCTTGATCCTCATCATTTATATTATTTGTTGGCAAGATTCAGTGATTTAGGATTTGATGTTGGTGCTTTTGAAGCTGTTGTTGATTTCAAACGGGGTGATGGTGAAACTCTCGACATTGATATTAAAGATCTAGAAACTTCATCAATTACATCCTCAAATTCAGTTAGCTCAATGTCTTCAGCGATGTCTTCCCTTTCATTATTTTCAGGATGGCAAGGGTGGTATTCTGCCGCTCAAAAAAACGGACCAGTTCCTATTAATCAGGAATTACAATACATTTATCATTCATTTATAAAGCTTACCGGTTTAAAACTTGCGATCATTAATCAAAAGAGAATAGATGGTTCTGAGAATTGGCCAAATGGTGCAATGTTATCCATGTCCTTCTTTAAAAATTTGACACATTTGGAAATTTATGGACTAACACCAAAAATGTTTGATGGTTGGGATATTTTACAAGAGAAAGTAGAATCCTTATCTTTACAACAAGGTTCAATTGATGATATTTATGAGTTATTTGTTGATGCAGTTGTTGATAGTATGAAAAGACGAAAACAAAATGACAATAAAGCTATAACAAACAATGGTCAAGTCGCCAAAGGGCCTCAAGATGTAGTTGAACAACCAAAAGCTAGGGATCTTAATGATTACTCACCAGATAGTATTTTACCACAAAGAATTTGGCCAAATCTTAAACAAGTCTATCTTTCTAATAATTCACTTACCTTTGTTGCTAGCGAGCCATTAGCTTACATTAATAAAGTCACTCATTTGGATTTATCACAAAATTTACTCATTGCTGTTCCTTCTGGTTTATCTCAACTTTATAACTTACAACATTTAAATCTTAGTAATAATATGATCGAGTCCGTAACGGGAATTTATAAAATGCTTAGCAATATCACAAGATTGGAATTACAAAATAACCGAATTGAAAATTTGTGCGGCCTTGAACGATTATGGTCGTTAGAGTATGTAGATATTAGGGAAAATAAATTAATGGATTGGGCTGAAGTTGGTCGTATGACGGAACTTCGAGATATAATGCAGATTTACGTTGAGGGAAATCCTTTTACAAGATTTCAGGTTAGTTCAATTTTTAATTTAATACGATGACAAATGAAACTTTTGCCATAATTTTATTGTATTTATAGTTATGCATTAAATTGTTTAAATCGAATTTAATTTTCACAAAAAACTTATTTCCTTCTACTTCACAAAAATGTATATATACGTGTGTATATATTTTTAGCCCCATTATCGAGTAAGCATATTTACTGCTTTTCGTGAGAATAATAAGGATATCATCTTGGATGGTACAGCTCCTAGTTATAATGAACGCCGCCAAATTAACGTGTATCCACAATCTTTGCCTTCAAGTCAAAAGGATCCTGTAGCCGTTCTAAGCAATGATTCGATATTACCTAGCTGTGTAATATCCTCAGATGACCAAAAACCAACTGTTCCTGTATTGAAAACAAAAAAAAGCCGTAAATTTCATAAAAGAGTTGTTAATTTGGATCGAGATGATGCATACAACAGTGGAACAGATGGATCTGATATAGCATCATCAAAATCTGGCAATGAAAAGAAAAAGAAGAAGGGCAAACTGACTAAAAAATCAACCAATGTTCCGATTAAAGATCCTGCAATGTTATCCGGGGATGAGTATAGACGTAAAGTAGAAGAATTACGAACTGAAGGTGGTTCAGCTTGGTTAAGAGTTTTAAGCGAAATGGAGTATGATAAAAGTGGTGCTGATAGGTTAAGAGAGCCACCAAAAATGAAAGCGATAGTAGATCAAATTATATCGACTAGAGATCGAACATAAAAAAAAACAAAAAATTTTTTTTTTCCCTTTATTTATCATTTCTAATCCTCTCGGTAGGATAATGTGTAATTAATTAGCTATTTTGTATCTTTAACCTCGTGATTGAAATTGGTCAAATTTTATCTATTTTCAATTATACATAGTAAATTAGTCAACCGATTCCAATCTCTTTTTTTTTTAAAAAAAAAAAAAAAAACTGTCATGTATCTCAATCTGTATTCACATTCATATATATTTACATATTTGGAATGTATAGCGAAACCAGTCATGAAGGATTTTGAAATAGTTTTGGGAAATCGTTAGATGGTTCTTCTGAAACTTTGTTATTGTAGTATATACTTTTTATAATACTTTCATTATTTATATTATTTATAAATCAATTATCAATTTTACATTTTTCAGATTATTTGCTCGTCTTTAAACAAATTTTTTAAATTTTGTTAGACTTATTTGATGATATTATACTTTTTTTATTAAATCACTTCAAGGATCCATACGATTCACTTTCACTATCGTACTCAATTTTTAGAGAATAACTGCAAATAAAACTAAAAAATTAATATATGACGATAATTTTTCTGTAGAACAATTAATTGAACGATTTACTAGATATAGATAAATCAATATTTATTTAATTGAGGCTTTTTTAAAAAATTTTATTAAGCAAACATAAAAGAAACTTTTGATTTTTTTAATTCAATGACAAAATAAAATCGCAAATAACCGCAACATAAAAATAAAAAATAAAATCTAACTTATATAAGCATTTGAAAAAAAAAAAATAAGCTAGAAAATCAGATAATTACAACTTTGGACACACAATTTCTCAAGACTGTTAATGCAAATAATCTCCATTAAAAACACCAATGAAAAATGACTTATTCCTCCTTTTTAAGATTTCCGGCGTAAGTTCTAGCCTTCTCATAGATACCACCAGTATGTTGCTTTGCCACTTTGAAGCCACTAATAAAACCAATCGTTGAATAAGTTAGATATAACAAAATTATAAAAACGTGTAAGATTTGTTGTTAAACTTACCGATCCATTTGAGTGTGTAAAATCTTGTTGATGTGATTCAATTTTTCGTCAACAAGTTTTTGGTTTTTCTGATATCCTATAGGAGCAGTGAATCCAAGAACAACGGCTGTGTAAAGAAAAGAATAAAAAGGTGACAAGTGTCAATTAAAAAATATTTAAATCTTTTAGCTTCGAACTTTTCTTGAAAGTATAAAATCATACCAATTCCAAAGAATGTTCGGAAACTAATCCAACAACCTAAAGTCCATAATCCATAAAAGATAAAAACATACTATGTTCAAAAATAAAAATAATAAAAATTAGTATTCTGATTTTAGAAGAAACGATCAGAATTCTTTAAATTAAGAAAATAACGTACTTTGATTGTTCTCAATGGATCTTCAACCAAAACGATCCTTTGAATTTCTAGCAGTGAAAAGTTGATCGCTTCGATTGTGAAATCTAAATATTTTTCAACATTTTCGCGTTCAATATGCCATGGCTTTTCTGCCAGAATGGTTCTAATATTAAATAATTCATTTCGTCAATCAAAAATAAAATCAAAAATAAATCGAAATCTAATTTGAACAAGCATATACATACTCATACGGATTGACGGGTTTTTGGTTGAGTAAGGAATGCAATTGTTTTCGACCATTTACATAAACCCAATTCGATCCTATCAAAGTAACAGCTAATGCGCAGAATGTGTTGAACAAGGAATAGTATGAAGTGAAAATCAAGAATGATAAACCGGCTAACAATACAGCTGCGGAATTTGTAGAATTTTCCCAATAGACGAGCTTTTCAACTAATAAATTATACGTTATTATAATAATTAATATAAATGTGAACCAATCTCACTTTTTTCCATAATATATGAAAAGATTACCTTTATAAGTGAAAGTTTTAAATGGATCTAATTGAAAAAAAAAATGAATTAGAAATTTCGTTTTATATGATCACGTGCACTACATTAGATCAAAGCTATTTCATACTTTTGGTTATCCTTTTTGACGAAGCTTCGGTCTTTCTCTCATTATTTACAACATAAGGCCGCTTAGGCGTAATTGGAGAAGCAGCGTCAGAAGAGGAGGAGGAAGAGGAGGAGGAGGAGTGTTCGTCTTTGGAAACGCGTTCTTCAGGTTCATTTGACGTTTCTTTGGTGCTACTCATGTTTGCTGCTTCCTTAAGTGAATCAGGTAATATATCATTAATTGTGTCCATAGTTAATATGATTTATTAAGCGTAACAAACGAAATTTGATAAATTGTAATAAACGAAGTAAAAAAAAAAAAATTTTTTTTTGAATTTTTGAAGAGCGGGAAGTACCAAATTTATTTCTTTTTTAGACGTTTTTATAACAAAGAAATATCTTTTAAAGTACAGACACTTTTGTGAACACAATATTACTATAACGAAAAAAATCAAGTTTTTTTCAACTTGAACTAGATAAGGATTTATTGATGTATTATGAGAAAGATCCCTTGATTGTATAACTAGTTTGATTAAATTTTCTCAAGTTTCTAATATTATGTAGTAAGGCGTTTAATGCAGTAATAATGATGTAAAGCTAATTTTCGATATTACATAATTTATATCTCATCGCTGTCCATTTCTGATTTGTCTGTTTCGACAAAGTCAAAAAGCAAACGAGGCTGAAATTTGGCGGTATTGCAAAATTCAAACGTTTTTTTGTTCACATGTTGGATTTTTTAACAACAAAGAAATCTTAAGTGGACAGACGTGGCATTTCAAGATTCGCGATTCGATCATGCAGAAATATCGATAATATTCTCACATGCACGTGTTTACGTTGATCATTGTGGCTCATATGATGATCATTTCTAAACATGTGTAAATTAAGTATTTAATTAAAGAAAAATCCTTCTATAATTAATATAAATAAGAATATTTTTTTGCTATAGTGTTATTTATTTTTGTTAGATTTATCATTTATGATATGTTACATAATTGATATTTTGTATAAAAATAACAAAACAAAAATATAAAATCTAAATTATAAAATAAACACAAAACTTATACTCAGTTGAATATAAGAAAAATAATTTCTTATGCAAAAAATATTAAAAATAATCAAACAGCAAGATATTTTAATATTGAATATAATATGATAAATCATTAAATAAATGAATTCAAATAGATAAAAAAAATAAAGAAAATAAGTAAGCAGATTAGTTTTAATTAAAAAGCTTTATTTTTAAAAATAAAAAAAAACTTTATACCTGAATTATATAATAAAGAAAATAAGGTCTTACAGTAGCTTACCGCATAATAGGGGTCATAATACCTTGGGTATAATACAAATTTTAAAGAGTTGAAGGCTATACACAGAGTATATTATACAGGAGGATACAGTAGGGATACTGTATATAAGAAGAGTATAAGATTTATAAAGTACCTAAGATATTTATCATATACAGTCACGCCTCGATATAATTAAGTTGCCAATCTAGTTGATCAGAACTTCGTTATAAGAATCTTTATTATAATAGATAATTACTGATTTCATTACACAAATATAATTTTACTATGATATAATTTTTCCAGAAATATTTTCACATTATTT